TAGGTTAAACCATTACTATTATATAGATGTAGTGTTAGTAATACGAGTACTTAAACATACTAACCTACTAGAGTGTATGAGGTAAGGATACCAGCAGGCTAATAAACCCGCAGGCTCAATACAGTAATTATTACACTGCAGGTACCTTATGTCAAACTTATATAATCGTGTACCTATAGTTCAAGTCTATATATCTCCTAGATTCTTAAGTAATCATAGACAAATGCAAAAACTAAAGAAATAAAAATATATCCATTCTACTTATATCCCACAATTTACAAGAATATCGTAGTTTTTCATAAGAATATAATTTCATCTATGAATAAAATAAATATTTGATTTGTTTTCATTGCACATACATTAGAGTACCTATAGTACCTATACTACGATTGTTGTTAGCTCGTTGGATAAGGTTCCCCATAATATTACATACCTAATGTTTGTCAGGTAGGTATATAAATTACGAATCGACGTCAAAATACAAGTAAAATAAAATAAAAGTCTGAAGATTTAGTGAAACCCTCGTTTTTTTTTTTATAAATATTATTAATTATGAGCAACTGAAATTTTAATACTTTCAATTGAAATGGCTATTTAAAAAAAAAAATGTTCAATTAAAAATTAAAAAATTAGTTGTATGTAACTAGAATTTAGTACTTGTGTTGTTGGAAATATGTTAATCACTGAATATTAATCATCTTAAACCTGATAGGTACTTATAATATAATATTATATACGTAGTAGATTAAATTCATTTATGATATATTATAAAATTAATATGTTATATATACATTGAAATGATTTGTTTCAAATTAAAAAAATACTGTCATTAAAATGTTCATCAAATTGTATCTACAATAGTATTTAACTCATTTGTGTTTCAAAATGTATAGTACTATCAAAATAATTATAGTATTTCGTTTGATCTGGTCAAGGATTCAAGTGTATATAGCCTTAAAAATATAAACATAAATATTAATCGTCCATTGTGTGTGGCTAACATATTTTTTGTTCGATGTGAAAATATCATGTAAATAATTTTATATTTATATCACAATTAAAAATATATATTTTACATAATATATGGCTTCATTTAAACGATGAGGTTATTACTTTGATGGTAGCTATCAATTATATTTTTAGTAGTATGTATAACGAGGAAGATAGGTATTATATTATTGTGAGAAAAATATTACGTAACAAATGTAGGACGCAGGCTTATATGATGGTATGTAGAATATTTATAAGTAAGTCAATAGATTCATGATTGCCCGAGCTAGAAACTTAGAAATTGTGCAATCATGTAGTGAGTTAACATTATTTTTAAAAATTATTAGTTATAATATTAGGCTTGTCAAAATCTAAGCCTTGTGTACACTACGCATATATGCGATTACATGATTAAAAATGTAATCTTTAGATATATATATTTCATTGCTGCAAGAACATAAAAAAGTTATTTAAAATGTATAGGTATGTATTTTGGTAAGGGTGTCCAGGATCTCAGTACTTAATATCCTTCATTGAGAGCTTTTTCTAAAGTTCTAAAATGTCTGGTATTGATAAGCTAAGGTATGAATTCGTATGTATTGAAAATCTGAGAATTTCACAACTCACAAGTTAGCTGATCTCGTGACTGACACAATCATCGACATTCCAATCAATGATATAAGAATAAAAATATTTCATTTCAAAACTATTGGGATTCCATCCCACTATCTAATAAATTATTATTTTAAATAGTTGTAGAATGTACAGTCTACAGGTAAATTCCTATAATTTAAGTGATAACATTTGTGTGCATATTGCAGTTGATATACTTTTGAAAAAACAAATCTAGAATATTATATTGCAAGATTCGAATGTTGGACACTCCTCTACCTTCTCTTTCGTAGTTGTGATCTGTCGACTCTCTCACAGTAAACCTGTGAGCAAGTTCGTCGTTAAATATATTTACCACCCTAGAGCGGAAATTTTAACGGCGCTTTTCTTTATCGATATTTATTTAATTTTGCAGCCTTCAATTTCTTTAAAATTGATTGTATTTTACTCTGAACCATATAATAAAAATAAATTTAGAGCTCTCAATACGGATATTTCGTATTACTAAACATATACTATTTACAATAGTAAAAATTACTACTAGGCATCTGGTAAATATATATAAAATGTATTATTGTACGTAAATATTTAAAAACAAGAATAAATTCAAAAACATATTGACATCAAAATTTAAATGTAAACATTTATTATTCTATTGTCTACCGAGCATAATTTATATAATTAAAAACAGAATCAAGAATATTAATAATATGTACCTCAAAAATCAATAAAATGTGCAATAACAGAACGTTATCTGTTCTCTGCAGAAACAAAGAAAACCTGTTGGCAATGTACCTACATAAATTACTTCCACACATTACAAAAATCTTCGATATGAAATTGAAAATACATAATTTATAAAATATTATGAAGGTGTAGCCAATTTTGAAATGTAAAATAATTAATGTGAAAAAAACAAATTATATCTTATTTAATAAGATAGACAAATTTTCCCACCGTTTTGAATAATTAATTCAATACACAGTAACATGAACACGGTATGATACGTGTACGAAAAAACAATAGAAACTTATGAAATTTTTTGGTACCTACCTAATCTGTTGAAATTGAATAACTACTTAATTTCAGTTTGAACAATTCGAAGCAGTAACCAGGTAACCTCACACTCACACATTTGAAAATTAGGACGCGCATTAACAGTGTGGCTATTGCGACTTAAAAACAGCTGGTTTATGTAAACGCTTAAAAACAAAAATTTGTCTACGTGGACACATTTGTATGGAATTATATAATATTAAGTAGCTACGTTTTGCGCCCAAGACACCTTCATCGCCAGACTAATACCGTTCACGTACCATACAAAAGCAAATTTCGTCTGTTTAGGTAACATAATATTTAGTATAATATAATAATAAATAAGTATTTATTATACACGTTTTATTAATCTCGTATATCTGATGAGTAGATTACATAAAGGTTAGTACTTACTTGTTTTTTGAATTCAATCAAGTGAACTGTGACGCTTTGACTAAAAAAAATCTACTCAACATTAAACACAATATTATGATGAATCGCTTTGAAATGCCAATAAACTATGCCGAAGTGGTAAAACTGGATACCGTTGAACCAACACCACTCTAACGCCCAATCCTCTAACGTACCTATCCATAATACACTCATCAAAACTTGTATAACAGTTTGTGGTTTATAAAATAAAAAATGCAAAAAGAAATATATATCGATTTACGAATGTTTCGTTCTACTATTAATGCTCCTAACCACGGAAAAGAAAATGTATAAGCCAACGATGCTGAACTGTTTATAATAAATGGCAAGTATCTACAATTGTAATTTCGACGAACAGTTTCCTTATTTTCAGATGATGCTTGACTCGTTAGTGATAGGACAAATATCCACTTGCCTTGGAGAAATGTTGTAGTTGAAGTATTGGGAAATTATCACTGTACAATTATATCGGTTTGATAAATGGCATAATATTTTCTACAATAACCGAGACTGGGCAAGTTACTAATATTTTCTAATCGATTTAAGTAGGGTTATTTGAAAATTATTTAAACAATTTAAATTTACAATCTAATTTTTAATAGTTGGTTCATTTTTTTTAAAACTCAGGTTAAGAGTTGTATAGATTCCAAAAATTAACTTAATTACGTCTTAAGGGGTTCATTGCCAATTTTCCAAATTTTCAGTAGTTGTATAAAGTTTGAAAATTATATTTAATATTTTAGTTGTTACCTTAATTATAAATGCATAATACTTTTCCACTAATCTACTACCGGGTAATTTTTTATGGTGGAGGGGTAGGAGTTTACGGTATATTACACCTATAAAAAAGACTTCACAGGAAAAACGTTCAGGCTTCGCACAGTTTTCGGATTTTGATAACTGTTTTTTTTATCCAGATGACTTAATAATAAGATTTTCTACAGCCCTCATTGAACACCGATTTTTAAATTTATTTTAAGTAATGGTACGAAATAGTTTATAAAAAATTATAAAATAAGTATTTTTTGGAAGACATATTATTATGCCATTTGAGATTGGAATATTGAAAAATAGAGTTAAATGTAGATCGTATAATATGTCCTTTTATAAATAAATTAAATAAATAAATATATTTGGTTGGTTCTACAGTACAGGACAATAATTATTCCCGAAGAGTGTATTTGTGAAGACAAAATGACATTAGCACCGGGTGAATTACTAACGTTGTTACGTAAAAATAATTTTCTTTTTTTTTAACATATAATTAGGTTAGGAAGTTATAATTAGATGGTTTAAAATAAATGCTCATTTGAAATTAAGTTATTTTAATTGAAAAATCCTGGCTAATTGCGACGAGAAATAATTTTAAGAACTACATTGTTAATTTTATATTACGTATCATCTATCAATATAAATTGTATTATATTTATTATTTAATTATTTATGAATACACGTAATTTGGATTTTATTGAAAGTAATTCGTTATTTATTAAGTCAATATCAACACGATTTGCATTGAGTTAAAAGTTAAGTTAAATATTAAATGAAATAAGTCAAGTTAAAATACACTCTACTCAAACAACTTGTTCGTGCCGCTCAGCATTGATGTTAACGAATAATATAATAAAATAATATGTACCTAACTATTATGATTGGTCCTCGCACAAAAATATAAAATAATTATAATATTATTAGCGGTGATACTCGCTTGGGTATAGAGTAAAAAAATATCAAAACCCAGATTCTCGATAGTTGACAGTCAAACCGCCCGTCGGTCGGCGCTAGTGTCCGACGAAACCAGTCCGACGGTGGTCGACGGCGGGAGTAGCGTCTTTCAGACATACATAACACGCTGTAATAATAATAATAATAATAATAATAATAATAATAATACTATCACAGTGTGCAGGTAATAATATTATTATCGCGGCCTATCGGCCATTATAATACCTCAGCGGCCGTGTTGCAATTCCATTTACATCCAAACGTCCGAGCACCGAGCACATTCGCACACACGCACGACGCCGTACCGGTTGGTCGATCGGTTGGTTGGTCGCACGACAGTCGTAATAAAAAATATCGTCGCCGATTTTCGAGCAAAACCGTTGGGTTGTCCCGTCGTCCTGCACGTCGATCATTATCCGTCCGCGACGGTCAACGATATAGACACACACGCACAAACACGAAACCTATAACTGTTGGGTACATCGAAAAATTATTGTGTTTTTTCGTCGTCGTCGTCGTCGTCGTTTTACCTGAACGGTACAACACGTGTATAACGGACCCTCGGCCGTCCACTGTCAACGTCGGGCCAAAAAAAAAAAAAACGAAAACCAATTTCAAAACGAAAACCCTGACAACATCGACCATGGAAGTGGACAATTACGGACCAGTCGTAAAAATGGGCTCCGGGTACGAGCTGCGGTTCGAGGACGACGCCAATTTCGAAGAGTCGTACAAGGAGCGCGCCGTGAACGACCTGGGCGAGACGCCGGAACGCCGGGCGGAAGCTCTAGAGGAACTCCGGAGACTGATCAGAGGTAACAGAGATATTTTTTTTTGTGAAATTATTGCAGAGTGGCTAGTTTTTTCTTCCCCCGGCGACCGAGTGACGGACTGTTTATTGATGATTTTGGCGCGCCGTCCGTGTCACCGGTCGCCATATGTTTTCCCCTAAATCTAATAACAATTTTATAGTAATAATAATATCATTGCAGTATCGTATTGTAATTATTATGGGCAGGTGACCAACGTACGGACATCCGTTTTCATTATTTATAACACGGGACACCTCGTGAACGACGGGATTAAAATAATAATAGGTACTACTAATAATAATAATTGATTCCTCCGTAAAGAGCTTTTTTCCTTTAATCCTATGAAAATAAATTGGCGCCACAAAAAGTTAATATGGGATTCGACTTTATACAATATATACATATCTATCAATTCGACGGATCTTAATAGAGTTAAAAAGTTAGCAAATTAAATACCTATAATAATTAATAAGGTATAATACGGTTTACACTACAATATACGAACATTTGAATATTTTCCACAACATATAACTATGTACTACAATTTTTCAAACACGAATTTATAACTGTAACAATAACTTTATACAACTCGAGTTCGTTGCAGCACATTATACATAATTGATGTGTGGTAGGTATGTTTAACATATTTGAGTTGTATAATTTATTTTATTATTTAAAAACTTTTGATCTATGCCTACATTATTTCAAATTCACCAAATTTTCGAATCTATAATATTATATTATTGAAAATTCTGATAGCTGACTTTTTCCAAATCGTATAGTTATTATTGATATTAAATTATAATTCCTGTAATTATTGCGTACCCACAACTTTTTTTGACACGTTGAAAATTGATTAAAATAAATCGCGTTTCTGTTGGTACCTATGTAAGCGAGTATAACGACGGATGGTGTTGGTCATAAGCATTCATCAATAAATTGCAATAAAGAAAAATATATAATTTCCCTACATTCAGTCGATTTCCTCGTTGACATAATGTAAATAAATTATACAGGTATTATAATTTTGAATATGAAAGACGGAGGGTAGATAGGTAAATGAACTGCAGGTAAGACGTCATAATCTTTAATAATTACCATACAGACGATAGTGTTATTTCAACCGAATTAAGATTACTATTACAATATTCATTATTCATTCATAGTTTCAACGAAATCCTTTGGAGTTATAATTCAGCGATTTGTATCTATATTATAATAAATGTCATAAAATGTATATTCTAGAGAAACTTTTACGAGTAATAATAATAATGCTACCACCGGGAATGATTGTGCAAATTATTCAATACAAAAAGAGGGATGTTTTAAATAATTTAGCGTGCGTACTTTCAGCAGTTATAGATGTATTAACACCTTTTCCATTTCACATGTAAAACGGTTGCAACATTGTTTTTCTTTTGAATTTATACTCGGGAGTGTTTGATTGTATTTTAAGAGCGGTGTATTGAATAATAGAATTAAAAGTAATAATAATTATGCTCTTTGTCGAGCGAATTTACATTTTACCATTATCCCTGGAACGTTCCGAGAACAAGACTACTATATCGTTTAAACGTGACTTACATACGACAGAGTGAACTTAATATTCCCAACTACTAATGTCATTCTCATTTATGTTGTAGTGTGTAGTAGCGTAACCTTTGTCATCGAATTCTATTTTACCCTTCGATTTCGGAGTTCGACCTATTATTATTGAGCCATTACAATACATTGTGTTTGCCTTAAAACAATCTCTAAAACTCAATTTAAATCAGAATATTGTTTCGACACAGCCGCCGCCCCCCCCCCCCCCCCCCCAAGATTAAAAGGCAATTAATTTAATAATCGTCATCGACGCCGTAAACGATCACAATCGTTGTTCCACGAATCATGTGCTCATTGTATCGAACAGGTCGGGATAGGTGTCTACTAGGCGGAAGGCACAATTATTATTATTAATGCTCAATACAAAATTAATATGATATAAATGCACGGCCGCGCGTTGTCCCACGGTGCTCAGTTGTATATGGATTGGCGGCGGAGTAATTAAGTTTCCCGAGCTTTAGAACCTATGCGAAAACCACTGCAATGTCCACAAACACCATGCGGAAACCCCTCATTTATTTGTTCAGCTTGTCGAACGTTGAAATCGCAGACAAATCTTATCACCCGGATATTAGTAACGTCGGGTCGAGTATTACACCGTCGTGCATTTGTTGCCTATATATTATATTGTAATGTAATTGAGTGCGATTTAATAATATTATACATCATTATGAATTATAATCATCTAGATACCGATTTAAAGCCTAGATGTATTATAGCGAAAATGTATACCTCTAATGATCGTTGTTATTGTAATAATTACTGTGTGTGTTTGAAAAAAACAAATTAACTAATTATTATGAAACATGTGTTATCGTTTTCGGATCGAAAATGGAATACGCAAAATTACAGATACAATCATTACTAACACAATACAGAGGTTAATATAAATAATCCGATTATTAATAAGCCGAGTACAGGCGGTCAGATTGGCTAATAAATATTTTATCGAAACAGAATATAACGTATATAGGTGATCTATGATACGATAATTATGTACCGAGAATGCAAAATAGATGAATAATAATCTACATAATTCATAACATAATGTGTCGACGACCTCATTCAGAAATGGCAAAGTTTAATGGCTAAACCATACATTACATAATTACATATATTATACATTATTGTTCCGATCATCGAATATATAGGAAGGTAGGTACCTAATTAATTAATGTTTTATCGGTGCGCACAAGACTTGACCTGAAGAATTTAAACTGAAAAAAAAAATCGATGTGTAATAATTATTTACTAAATATGGCTTAAGCCGTTAGAGGGATACAAAAGCGTAATAAATAAAGTTCAGTACCTAAATATTAGTATACTGTCTGCTTTACGAGTTTTAGATCAACCAAACCAACTACAATAATTATCGATAGCCAAAATAGTAGAAAAGAAATGATAAATGAAGATGAAAATCGATTGTTTTCTATTGAAAGCAATCATATTATAACGTGTGAATAACAACGCACCTACCTATTGTTATAAAATAGAACATTTTTCACAATAAATCACTGGCATGAAAATACATGCCTCCTCGTATGTTATACACACATAAGTATTCTATAGTCATAAATCGAAACTTTTAGTTCGGAATTTCTACTGAAATTCATGTATTACAAATATATTGTTTTAACTTTCAATCAATGTATATTATATTGAATCGTTTTAATGTAATAACAGTTTTTTAAGAAAAAAACGGCTACCTACCTAGTTCGGATATTTAAATATTGATTCAATTTTCTTTTCACTCTAACACCCTGTGCGCTCTCCAGTGACTCACTCAAAAACACTATCGTTTTAATTTTGTACTTTTAAATTTGGACCTTAGATACTTTTTATCATGAAATAATTACGTCATATAGACACTACATTTAATTCTTAGTAAATATTTTTTTTCCTAGTTCAAAAGTAATAACATAATAAATCATTATTATGATAATTATGTACTAATATAAGTATAAATATCGACTGCATAAAATTAATAATATACGAAACAAACATTTTACTAATTTTGGAAAAATGTATGGGTAGTTGATTAGTAAAATACATTTAAACTATGCAGTATTAATAATTATTATACGATAATATGGCATGCAAGTATTATAAACGAATAGTGTGTTTAAATAATATTATTATTTTTGTATAGGTACTTACCATATTGTTGAACCATTTTAATTTGATTTTCGAAAAATGAATACCTACCCACTCATAAATAGAAATAATATGTACCTTCATTGCAGTACGTTTTTTATTTACCTCACGTGCTCAAATATCACGATACCCAAACAAATAGGTACCTATAAATATTAATTTCGATTTAATATTATTAGAGAATTGTGCTGTTTATTTATTAAATTATACGCTTGGTAAAAATAAAAAATAAATGTCATGTTCATAATATTTGTTTATATCATTAATTAAAAAAGTTCAACTTGGTTTAATAACTAATAAGTACCTAATAACTGATAAATGGAAAAAATGGTAGAATGTAGGAACGCGTTTAATGAATTAATTGTTTTATTTTCAACATCCCAAAGTTTATAATTTATTGTGATATTTGTGTACAACGCACAAGCCAATTAGAATATAAAGCAAAATCGTTACTTACACACAAATGCACTATATTTTACTTTATGAATTTGATCTAGATTTAATATGTTTTAACTATTGAGTTTGTTTCTTTATCTATTTCTGTATATATTTACACAATGTGGTCACATTACAAGTATCTAAAAACCAATGGTATTAAACTTCGAAAATGAGGTTGAAGCATAGTAATACTAATACACAATGTTTATACTCGGAAAATTCAAAACATACTGCAGCTGATACCATTTAAAACAATCTTCCAAACGTAATCTGATCATGACAGTTTGCTCATGTCGGGAACGTGTGCAAAATACATTAAAAATTATTTCTTTGAATTTACGGATAATAATATTTTGACAATGAAGGGATGAAAATATATCCAACTATGAACGTAGTTACCTATTAATATTTTCTAGTCTTGGCAAATACGAAGCCCTATTAATTATTGTTGAACGAATGACATCATAGGCAGTACCGCGGTAGGAAAGAATAAAATAATGGAAAATCATTGTAACCAATACAATATGGTAAAAATAATAAAAAACAAAAATGATTTAAATAACAATCGAATTTCGAATCACAATAACATAATAAAAACGTATAATCATAATTATGTGAATTACAATTTTTATTGGTCTTTTATGATTTAATGACCTATATCGAAATATCTTGGTTTGTTTTGATAGCTGCAGAATGTTGAATATCTTGATAACTTATCTTATTTTTTAGACCTGTATTGTGGTTATATTTTAAACACTAATGTAAAAGAATATCAATATTAAATTATATTAAAATGTATAAGATAA